TCGACGCTGCTTCACAGACTTGTTTTACGGGTTCCGAAAGCAACGTTAGACATTCTGAGAGCGTGCGCGGAGGACCTCTTTCGGGCGATTTTTGGTCTCGAATTAGATTGTGGAAAGCTGTGGCGAAGGAAATCACTCGGAACAGGTGTCTACCAGCCAGAGCACCCGTGGGAGGTGAGAGAACGGCTTCTTGTGCACCAGCCAGAGGACCTGTGGCCAGAGGACCCGTGGGAGGTGAGAGAACGGAGTCTTGTGTACCAGCCAGAGGACCCGTGGGAGGTGAGAGAACGGCTTTTTCGATGCTTCCGAGGCGTTTCCGTGACAGCCGGCGGCTTGAAGCGTTGCTGAAGGGTCGAAAGCGGAAAACAGGGCGTGCTCGACGCTGCTTCACAGACTTATTTTACCTCTTTCGGGCGATTTTTGGTCTCGAATTAGATTGTGGAAAGCTGTGGCGAAGGAAATCACTCGGAACAGGTGTCTACCAGCCAGAGGACCCGTGGGAGGTGAGAGAACGGCTTCTTGTGCACCAGCCAGAGGACCCGTGGCCAGAGGACCTGTGGGAGGCGAGAGAACGGCTTCTTGTGTGCCAGCCAGAGGACCTGTGGGAGGTGAGAGAACGGCTTTTTCGATGCTTCCGAGGCGTTTCCGTGACAGCCGGCGGCTTGCAGCGTGGCTGAAGGGTCGAAAGCGGAAGACAGGGCGTGCTCGACGCTGCTTCACAGACTTATTTTACGGGTTCCGAAAGCAACGTTAGACATTCTGGGGGCGTACGCGGATGTCGTGTGCGTCTGCACTGTTGTGTGCGTGCGTCTGCACTGTTGTGTGCTAATAGCTGCTACCTCCATTCCTATAAATTTGCCACCGTGACCGCTGTCGTGTGCATCTGCACTGTTGTATGCTAATAGCTGCTACCTCCATTCCTCTAAATTTGCCACCGTGACCGCTGTCGTGTGCGTCTGCACTGCTAACAGCTGCTACCTCCATTCTTACAAGTGTGCGTCTGCACTGCTAATAGCTGCTACCTCCATTCCTCTACATTTGCCACCGTGACCGATGTCGTGTGCGTCTGCACTGCTACCTATAAATTTGCCACCGTGACCGCTGTCGTACGCGTCTGCACTGTTGTATGCTAATAGCTGCTACCTCCATTCCTCTAAATTTGCCACCGTGACCGATGTCGTGTGCGTCTGCACTGTTGTATGCTCATTGCTGCTACCTCCATTCCTATACATTTGCCACCGTGACCGATGTCGTGTGCGTCTGCACTGTTCTGTGCGTGCCTCTGCACTGTTGTATGCTAATAGCTGCTACCTCCGTTCCTCTAAATTTGCCACCGTGACCGATGTCGTGTGCGTTTGCACTGTTGTATGCTCATTGCTGCTACTTCCATTCCTATAAATTTGCCACCGTGGCCGATGTCGTGTGCGTCTGCGCTGTTGTGTGCGTGCGTCTGCACTGTTGTATGCTAATAGCTGCTAACTCCATTCCTATAAATCTGCCACCGTGATTGCTGTCGTGTGCGTCTGCACTGTTGTACGCTACTAGCTGCTACCTCCATTCCTCTTAATTTGCCACCGTGACCGATGTCGTGTGCATCTGCACTGTTGTATGCTACTAGCTGCTACTTCCATTCCTATAACTCTGCCGCCGTCGGCGATCTCGTGCCTTATCCCCGGGGTCGGCGGCAGGGGGCGGAGCCCTTACAATATATATCATACAGAATCATACATCGAAAAGAAGTGATCACCAAAGTGAGCATAGTGTGTTAAAGCACAATGCCTGAGCATGTGCCGCCAATTGAATGGGGCCTTGTTCTTGACTCTCAACAATATGGTTGAAGGAATCCCCTTGGTTTCCTCGGCGGCAGAGGATTGCAAGTCACTTGCAAAATAGCTGACTTGATAAACAGTGCCCAAAGACACCTAAAGAAAACATGGGTGTCATGTGTCAACACAACAAACCTGGGATCTGCTGTCAGTCGCAAGTCCATGGGCTGGACATACTCAACTGTCTGGACTCTGAACGTACATACCTCAACGACAGACACACATCTCCAAGTCCCAGACTCCTGGCTTCACATAGCCTTCTTGCAAGCCGGTGGTCACTGCCTGCCATGCTTAAAGCAAGTTTGCGTTTAACAACAACAACAACAACAACAACAACAACAACAACAACGAAAGGGACTGGCGCCGGCACAACAACTGGAAGGCTGTGTGTGGAACAAATTCGCTTGGAACAACTTCGCACATCCAGAGATTCGTCAATGACAATGCCATCTGGCTTCGGTGTACCAGCCCTCTGCACGCTTTTGGTAGAGCCCTCAGCATGGCACATCCGCGTGGGGCAGAATCAGGTCCAATCAATTCGCAGGGGAAGTGTTCGTGCATGTTCGTGCCCTTTTTGAGCACAGTCCCGCACCCGTCTAGTTTGGAGCAAGAAAACAGGGCTTCAAGCCCAGTTCAGCGTTGCCCTCAAAACCTCCATGATCGCATATGATCGTGTGTTTTGCTACATAGCCTACTCAAAGGGCTTTTGATAGGCGAGCCACAGCCCGTTTGGGTGGGTTGGCCAGTGAGCCGGGCTAAATCTGGGGAAGCCGAACCGGCCAGTTCTTGCGGACGCACCACAGGGGGTTCGGCTCATCTGGCTTCTCTCTTGGGGAGGCCGACTCGCTTCAACCAGGGTGTATTCATGTCCCAACACCCAATGTGATGTTCGTGTGAACCGGAGTCCGAAGGGGTGGCTCCAGGGTACTGATGAGCATCAAGTTCATTCAAAATTGAACGTCTCATAGACTTCTGGAGCCCCTTGTCCCAACGAGACACTCATCCCCTGCGTCCGCAACGGTGCTTCGCTTGGCCAAGCGTCTCAGAAGAAAAGCGGGTCGCAGCGCATGCGCCTGTGCCAACACCTCGGAAGTGTTTTCTTCACGTGCCAAAGGATATAGTGAATAGTGCGAGTAGTGACCCAAACACCCTGGCACGAGTCAAATACACTAAATCCGGGGGGCTCCTCATTTTCAGTCATGCCCATGTCAGCAGCTTGGATCAGCACTAGGTTGAGCAAGATCAAAGCGCAATCATCACGATACTAAACCAGCAGGTCTGGAGTAGATCCACGAAACTGCTAGCCAGGCAAAGGTTTCATGAAAAAGGAAAAGATCTCATGTGTACTGATGTGCTTCAATTCTAGAATGTGTTTCAATCTCTTTTTAAAAGTACGACTCCTCTTCCCATGAACATTTAGTTCATGTCCTTTCATGTCCCTCTTCTGCCTGGCTCAATCTCATCAGCTCTGACCAGTTGGCGAGAACTTCCTCGACCTATCACCCGGCGGAGGCGGAAAACGCACCACGAACGGTGACCGTCCAGGACGACCGGCTCGACGTTGAGTCGGCGTAGGAACTGACTCGGGGAGTCGGGAGTCCCACGTGGTTCGGTGAAAAAACATCTCCAAAAGAAACTGACGTTTCCTGATCTCAATGATTTGGAGCTTGTGATACAACGATAGCGACTGCGTATTATCCCAACTGCATATGGACATATGTCTCGTCACGTCGTCAGTCCTTCACTCACGGCGCTCGACAAGTGGTGGAACACTGCCACTGGGACATCAAAGGGGATTGGTTGTTGCGGGTCGGTTGGCATTTTGCTTAAAAGCCCAACTGCCCCAATCCGGTTGACACAAAGACCATCGAAGCAAACCCCAGCTTCTGCACGCCTCCTTGTGGTTCTTTGCTGCCAAGGCTTTGGAGAGCCCTCTCTGAGACCGTCGGCAGGCCAAGAACCACAAGAAAGGCGAGGACAAGTCTCTGAGAGACAGCTCTTCCCGAGGAGGCCTCCTGGAGTCGACCCCGGCACGAATACGAACATGCTCAGCGCGAATACGAAGTAGTAGTGCGCGTGTGGAGGATTTCTGGAGGCCAACTCTCAATGTTGTTGTTTCCTTTCAGGGTCTGCCTATCTTTTCACTATCAGCCCTCTGTAGTCCGCTGGAATGAACTTTGTTGACCCCAACAGCGGAGTCTGCGCCAGATCATAACCTCCATGCATGAATATCGGACTATGTAACATATTGTTGTCGCAGCTTTTGCAGCAAGACGGAGCGTGAACGCTCCCGCAGACAGTGACATCGTTGCAAATCCCATGGCTTCTTCTCCTGGCCGTCACCACCTCCTCAAAAGTATTGCGACGAGACAAGACTTGTCGCACCAGCGCAGCCCCATTCAATACGGCATTGAAGCCAGGCGCACGGATCATAGGCGGCGGAATCTCAAACTCTAAACGGAGAACGGAAGACAATAGTGAAGTTGACCTTTGGCCAACTGCCTTTGCTTATATTGCTAGTGTCAGTTCCGATGAGGCTCTGCAGTTGCTATCTCTCTCTCTCGCTCTCTCTCCCCCTCTCTCTCTATCGGTCTCTCTCAAGCCAATACTATCATGTCCCTCTGATGAGGCTAGCAGTCCAGGAGTGCAATCGCAGGACCAGACATTGAACCTCGCTTCATCATATGGGCGATGCTTGGACAAGCTTCATCTTCCTATCTAACTGGTGATGCTCAGCGGTGTCCTTCGTAGCGAGATTTCACTACAAAACTTCGGCTTTGAACCCAAATGACCCAAGTACTGCAACAACTCACAGGTATTGCTTCCACTGGCTGACTCATTTTGTTCACTAGTCCCTTTGCTCGAAAGAAAACAAATGACCCAAAGAATGACTCGCAGGCGTCAGTCTGCTTCCTTCTCTCTAAGCTGATTGCCACCAAGTGTTATCTGTTGTGACACCCTTGTCATGCGCCATCGCAACAAGGGTCGCTTCCTTTTCATGAGCTAACGCTGTGCTTGCACACGGGGCATGTCTGACCTGGGCAGCCGATTCCGACGGGAGACTTCAATGGGTCGGTCACGGCTGAGGCCGACAAGGTTGCTTCCCGAAGAAGCAAAACCAACCGACCGCCGACCGGTCGGGAGGTTATTGGTCACCTTAGGTCTGGTGCAGTTATTGCTGTATTTTTTAACAAATATGTATATAAATTCACACTCAAATTGCAATCAATCAAACACACCTTTTAACGATGTTCCTTTCCATATCATTCCATATCCATAATTATAGATGTATACCCCTGGATGTATACTGTATGTTTATACGGTTGATATGAATATTGTATATTGTGATAAAGTGATACTATCATAGTTTCTTCGTTAACATCAAAAGTATTCATTTAAACATAATTCTTATATATGTGAATTTGTTTCTGTCTGTTTTACTGAAACAAAAGGTTATGAACTTTTGTATGTACTTACATGAAACATGTTTTTGTATTGCAAGGGAAAGAATGATGAAGTATTACAAACATTGGTATCAATACTGGTAGTGTTGATAATGTATGTTTTCAAATTTAGTATTGAGAATATGTGGATGTTCTTTTTGGATGATGCGGAAATTATTCAAATTAATACTTATTGATGTGTAATTATGTGCAATTTGTGTTGCAAAGATATATATATTACAATAACGAAAACAAAAAAAAAGAAAACATAGGTAGCATAATTTATGAAAATTGCAAAATCTAAAAAAAGGAATTGTAACGGTAAATGTTAAAGGAAATGATGGGTTAATTTTAGAAAACCTACCAACTGTGTCGTATGATACAGGTTCTAGCGTTGTTATAGCAAAAAACACGATTCAACACAAGTAACAAATACTTACACGTAGTTGTGTTGCTCACCAACTGTTCTGCCTCTGCAACCACATGAGTGACTCGACCAAATTTTAGCCCAAGCCCAAGAATCTCGTGGCCCACATGTCAAGAGTCAAGAGTCAAGAGCATTTCCTTTCACAACTTCAGCTTGGGTCTCCAGCTGTGGCTTAGCCATCGATCGATGCACTGCACATGATACCTCCCGGAGAAAGTTCAAATCAATTAGCAACAATTATTGGCAACAGTGGCTATACCACAGCAGCATCTGTGTATATGCGTGTTGTCATGTGTATAAATGTGTGTGTATATGTTGTCATTTGTCTGTGTTGTGTATTTGTGTATATGTGTTGTCAGGTGTGCTTCTCAGACAAATTGCATCTAAGCCTGCCTGATGGCCTAATCATAGATGTGATAGGTTCAAAACTGGGCTTCAAGGCCCACAAGCACCATGGTGCGCCTGTGCAAGCATGGCAGCAGCCGTAGGCGCTCTCCCTCGACAAAATCCTCACAGCAAATGGTGCATTGCACCTCAGGCATCGCTGCGGCATCGCTGCGCGAGTCCACGTCTACACGGTGTCCACGTGCGAGTCGACGGAAGTGTCCACGTCTGGTCTGAAGAATGCTGAAACGTCTGGTCTTTGCGGAGAAATCTGTGAAGTGGTGTTTTGAACAGGTCATGTTGATAGGGTCTGAAGCAAAGGGATGAAGCAAAGAGGTAAGGTTCCTTTAAAGGAAGAAGGCCTTACCATCGAATCTTGTTTATCTTGTTTTAAACATTCTAAAACCGTTACTTACTGCTACGTAGACTATCCCAAACTGAAAAGGCCTCGTTTTTCCTGCACGTGTGGTTGCTGTCTTTTGTTGTCATTTGTCTTCCCACTTGGTGCATCTCAAGGTGGGACCCTTTGGCAGAGATTAAATATACTACCAGTTACTACCAGCTGATCTAGCCAATCAAAGAGAGAGCTGGGGCATGCTGGGGCGCACATCACGTGCCGTTCAAATCAATAAACAGCATAGACTGCAGCATAAACAGCATAGGTCTTTTATCAGCATCTAGAAACCCTAAGTAGCGGAAAAAACAAACGAGAATAAGACGAGACCAGACCCAGCAAGAGGTAAGTCTCCACTGCAACAAACATGGAAGTGGACAACCCCTGCTTGTAGGATGTGTTTTGGATTCCGTGATTGTTGCAAGGGAGGATACGAATCCCACTGCCAAATGTTTGGAGAATTGCCAGGAAGTCCTGTCCCGAGCTAAGCTCAGAGCCTCTGTGGAAGTTTCACCTTGTTGAGGGCTAAAGCTGATCAAGGCGGTTGCACCGTCACTCACCTGGCCACACCAAGGACCTTCTAGTGACTTGTTGGTCTCAGCAACCATTCAATCAATCTCATGCGATCATCGGATTCTGCAAATAGCCAAATGGTATCTCTCCAAGTAACGAAAAAAATTGGTGAAGGGAAAGGATTGTTGTGGCAGTTTTTTTCTGAGCAACGAGTGAAACCGCTCTGTGAAAATCTGTGAAATGAACATCAATCAGGAGGTTGTTGCATGTTGCTGTCGTGCCATCCCTGTGCTCCGACCCAAGTTGGATCATTGGATCCACACAGCCTAATGTTTTGCGGCAGGTTTCAAGCCGAAGCCTCCCACCCACCACTAGTAAGTTGGAGGCCATCGCTAGTAGGTTGGAGGCCATCGACTCCAGACACGATCCGAACCCACGGCGCTTCCGGCTCAGCCTGCGGCGCTTCCGGCTCCGGCGCTGGTGGCCGAGAGAGGTGCGGCCGCGGGCGCCGCCGCGCGGGCGGCGCGGTGGGCGGGGCCGGCCGCGGCAGCGAGGCAGAGCGCAGCGTCCTGGTTCGGGCCAATGAAAACCACTGCAGTGGAGATGTTGTTTCTTTTTTCCCGAATGCGTAGCGAAGGGTTCTCGTTTAACTCTTTGGGGGTCTGGGGGTAGAGCCTTGTTCGCGAAGCGTTGTTTCTATGTTCGCAACCGTCCGCAACCGTCCGCAACCGTCCGCAACCGTTCGCAGCCGTTCGCAACCGTTCGCAACCGTTCGCGGTAGAGCGCTAAGGCGCTGCCATTGGGGGAAGCTTTTGCAAGTGACTATTCATGGATGTGTCACGTGTTAGTTTGCGACGCGAGTCCATTGTGATTTGCGTGAGAAGGACATGTCGCGCAAGAAGCGTGATGGATTTCGCTGCACAGGCGCAGCGTCTTGTGAGATCCGCAATTTGCTACGCAGTTCCATTGGGATTAGCGTTTGGAGAGTCGTGTTTTTGGGGTGTTGGATGTGGCCGTGCCATTGGGATTTGCGTTTCAGGGTGTGGCATCGAAGCTCTGTTTTCGTGACAAGTCTCAGCTGAAATGCCGATTTTGGACTCTGGGAGTGTGCTCAGAACGGGTTGAAATCATTCCAAACGTGTGGTGTGGTGCAAATTTTGTTGAAGCTCACATGAGATGACATTGTTACTTTTCGTGGCAGGCGCAGGACTTGGTGCGGGTTTTGAGGTGTGGAAGTGGGATTTTCGTGGCAGGCGCAGGGAATCGTGAGGTTGCGAGGTGTGACGGAGGTGACATTTCGTGGCAGGCGCAGTACTTTGCGCGCGATAGACGTGTGGACGCGGAAAGATTCGTGGCAGGCGCAGGGAATCGGGAGGTTGTGAGTTGTGGTAGAGGTGAATCTCGCTGTCACATTGGGATTGGCGTGTGAGTCGTTTGGAGGGGCTGGAATCGCGAATCTGCTTAGCAGGGCTGCGTGATGTGTGTGTGCTCCGATGGGTGTTTCCGCTGGACTTTTGGAGGAAGTCTCGTGCGAAACGTTCGTTTTGCAGACTTTGACATTGTGACATGTGAGTTTTTGCGGAAGTCTCGACTTTTGGAGGAAGTCTCGTACGAAACGCTCGTTTTGGAGACTTGACGTGTGACTTTTGGAGCAAGTCTCATACGAAACGCTCGTTTTTGAGACTTGACGCGTGACTTTTGGAGGAAGTCTCGTACGCAACGCTCGTCTTGCAGCCTCGCAGCGTGACTTTTGGAAGAAGTCTCGTACGAAGGGCCTGCCCTACAGGAGTGTCCCACAAGAGTGTCCTACAAGAGTGTCCCACAAGAGTGTCCTACAAGAGTATCCCACAAGAGTTTTCAAGAGTGTCCCACAAGAGTGTCCCACAACTACAAGAGTGTCCCACAAGTGTGTCCCACAAGAGTGTCCGACAAGAGTGTCCCATAAGAGTGACCCACAAGAGTGTCCTGCATGTCCCACAAGAGTGTCCGACAAGAGTGTCTCATAAGAGTGACCCACAAGAGTGTCCCACAAGAGTGTGCAACAAGAGTGTCCCGTAAGAGTGTCCCACAAGAGTGTCCTACAAGAGTGTCCCACAAGAGTGTCGTACAAGAGTGTCCCGTAAGGGTGTCTCACAAGAGTGTCCCACAAGAGTGTCCCGCAACCGTGTCCCACAAGAGTGTCTCACAAGAGTTAAGAGTGTCCCACAAGAGTGTCCTATAAAAGTGTCCCACAAGAGTGTCCAACAAGAGTGCCCTACAAGAGTGTCCCACAAGAGTGTCCTACAAGAGTGTCCCACAAGAGTATCCTACAAGAGTTTCCTTCAAGAGTGTCCTATAAGAGTGTCCCACAAGAGTGTCCCACAAGAGTGTCCTACAAGAGTGTCCCACAAGAGTGTCCCAAATGAGTGTCCCACAGGAGTGTCCCACAAGAGTGTCCCGCAACAGTGTCCCGCAAGAGTGTCTCACAAGAGTGTCTCGTAAGAGTGTCCCACAAGAGTGTCCCACAAGAGTGTCCCGCAAGAGTGTCCCAAATGAGTGTCCAACAGGAGTGTCCCGCAAGAGTGTCCCGCAACAGTCTTGCGCAAGAGTGTCTCACAAGAGTGTCCCTTAAGAGTGTCCCACAAGAGTGTCCCGCAACAGTGTCCCACAAGAGTGTCCTACAAGAGTGTCCCACAAGAGTTTCCTACAAGAGTGTCCCACAAGAGTGTCCCACAAGAGTATCCCACAACAGTGTCCTACAGGAGTGTCCCACAAGAGTGTCCCACAAGAGTTTCCTACAAGAGTGTCCCACAAGAGTCTCCTACAAGAGTGTCCCACAAGAGTGTCCCACAAGAGTGTCCGGTGTGAGTGTCCCACAAGAGTGTCCCACAAGTGTGTCCCACAAGAGTGTCCGACAAGAGTGTCCCATAAGAGTGACCCACAAGAGTGTCCTACAAGAGTGTGCAACAAGAGTGTCCCACAAGAGTGTCCCGCAACAGTGTCCCACAAGAGTTTCCTACAAGAGTGTCCCACAAGAGCTTCCTACAAGAGTGTCCCACAAGAGTGTCCCACAAGAGTGTCCCACAAGAGTGTCCTGCAGGAGTATCCCACAAGAGTGTCCTACAAGAGTGTCCCACAAGAGTTTCCTGCTAGAGTGTCCCACAAGAGTTTCCCACAAGAGTGTCCCACAAGAGTGTCCCACAAGAGTGTCCCGTAAGAGTGTCCCACAAGAGTTTCCTACAAGAGTGACCCACAAGAGTGTCCCACAAGAGCGTCCTACAAGAGTGTCATTTGGACATATGTAGCTTTTCGAACGTGTTTGCATTCGGGTTTGTGGGCTCCATCTTGTTTTCTGTCTGTTTCTTCGGGGTTCTATACCCATCAATGTGGGATCATGAGTGTCTGGATTCCTGAAGAGCAAATGGTAGCCCGATTGAAAGCACAACAGCCAAAGCTGTGCAGAAGGGGCAGTTGGCCGCTAAAAGGCATCGGGATGACTAAACATTATATATATATAACTATATAATATTGCGAGTCAAGTTGCAATTGAAGCCTAATCAAAAATGCTACCATCCTGAAAGCCCTGATTGTCAGGGGCATGTTCTTAACGTTTTCCAGCATAGCCTGCAGCAGAAATGATCCCTCAACTGAATAGGCATGTGTTCATCATCCATCTTTCTGCCTGCTGGGCTGTCGGAAGGTTGCCGGAGCTTGCTGTGATTTCATCTTCAGTGGTTTGTCTCTGCCAGCTGTGCTAGCATGTGGGGCCCCGTGTGTCTGCAACTGTGAAACATCAAACCTAGTTGCAGGTTGTTGAATGACCATATTCCGAACTTTTTCGCTCAGCAAAGGTGACAACTCAGTAATCAAACCGCTGTTGTTGGCATCAAGTCCATGGTCGGTCCTGAGACCAGGACTTTCTCTCATGCGCCGGTTCAAAGTGCTTCGTCGCCGCCTACCGAGGGCTCTCGGCGCCGTCCGTCTTCTCCGCTTGCGCCGAACCGAGAGAAGCTAGCGGACCTCCCCCTGATGCCCTGAAGCTTGATCCAGTTCAGTTCTTCAAATGAACGTCTGAAGCCACCAACATCTTGGTCCTCTTCAGAACATCATCAGAAGCTGAAACATATGCATGACTTTCAAAGTAATCGACGCTCACGATGTTCACTTGTTCAGCGAATCGACGGACTCAGAACAGCAAATCTTTTTGTTCCAAGTCCACAAAGGCATGGGGTCAGTGAACCTGGATCTACAACATGCTGAACAGCAGGGAGTGTGGTCACGCCCCAGGTCTCTTCACGAGAACGGTCAAAGTTCGAGCACGACACAAACACTAGGCAGAGAAGGTCAGACCCAATTCACTTGGATCAAACAAAACTTCCCTCGACACAAAATCCCTTCTTTGCTGATCAACGAAAACAAACCACTTAAAGTGAATGATCGTCCGCACTGCACAAGCGCCGGTATGGCCTTGCCACCCCGAGGATGATCGTCCCCAGGGTGGTGTGGGCGGGATCTTTCAACCTGGCGACCGTCGAGAGGCGACTAGTCGCCAAAATGGCAGCGATTGATCAATCGCAATACGTATCAAAATTAAATGATCAAAAATAAAAGCTGAACACATTACCGAGAAAGTCCCTAGCATGTCCCAGACCAACCTACCCGTCAACATGCTCACGACTTTCAAAGTAATCGACGCTCACGATGTTCACTTGTTCAGCGAATCGACGGACTCAGAACAGCAAATCTTTTTGTTCCAAGTCCACAAAGGCATGGGGTCAGTGAACCTGGATCTACAACATGCTGAACAGCAGGGAGTGTGGTCATGCCC